GGCCGTACCTTGATGCTGCTCTTGAAGAGGTAGGCGGGCGTGGCGAAGGCCTTGCGCCGCTCCAGCGGCTCGCTGAGGATGACGAGCTGCTCGAAGAGGAAGACGCGTCGCTCCCTGCAGCGCGGCAGGAACCCGCCGTCCTGCTCCGTCACCCAGAAGGTGTCCTGCTGCAGCAGCTTCCCCTGCGCCGTCAGCTTGCCCTGGGGGGGGTGGAGGGGTCACGTGGGGGCCAAAAGCACCCCTACCCCAGCCCCCCCAACTTCCTGTCACCCCCCTGCGCCCCACCAACACCTAACCCACCCGGCCAGCGCCCCCACCCGGCCACGCCCCAGCCCCCCATCAGTACCCACTCCATCTGGCCAATCAGGGGACAGCCCCGGCCCCACGGGACCCACTGGGGTGCTCAGGTTCGGATCCCAGTTCCAGGGAATCCTTGGGGGAAATCGGTGCCCCTTGGTGGCCGCTCGGCGAACAGGCGAGAGGGCAGAACGCAGACAGGAACCGGCTCGGCACCCTGGAATATGGGCACAGGGACATGGACCCCTCAACCCCCCCCAGTGGGCACAGACCCCCTAATCCCCCCCCACATCCCCGGGTCCTCGAGTGCCCCTGGGGGGGCCATGGCAGGCTGATAGCAGAGCCTACTCCATCCCCCTGCGGCGGGAGCAAAGGCTGCCCCAGCACAGGGCCTACGCGCGGGGGGGGAGACGGTTGATTGGAGCCCCCCCAACTCCTACCTCGAAGCCCTGCAGCCGCCCCACGTTCATCATGTCGTTGCAGCGCTTGGGCACGAAGCACATCACCTCCACGGCTTTCTGTGAGGCAAGGGGGCGTGAGAGCCGGGGGGAGGCCCTGGGCCCCGTGCGCCCTGGGGGGCAGGAGCTGCAGATACTTGGGGCTGCAAGTCAGGAGTGAGGGGCACTGGCAGAGTTGGGTGGGTTATCCCCAGACTCGTCCCCCCTCCCCCCGGCCATGTAATGACCCAGTTGCTTTCATTTTCCCAATGGGAACTGAACCAACCCCAGGATGAACCTCCCTGGCAAACACCCGCTCCGGTCCCCATGGAGACGCTGCCCCGTGCCCCCATCCGGTCCCTACGGAGACGTTGTCCCTTGCCCCCTCCGGTCCCCACGGAGACGCTGCCTCTTGCCCCCTACGGTCTCCACGGAGACTCTGCCCCTTGCCCCCTACGGTCCCCACAGAGACGCTGCCCCGCGCCCCCTCCGGTCCCCACAGAGACACTGCCCCGCGCCCCCTCCGGTCCCCACGGAGACGCTGCCCCTTGCCCCCTCCGGTCCCCACAGAGACGCTGCCCCTTGCCCCCTCCGGTCCCCACGGAGATGCTGCCCCGTGCCCCCTACGGTCCCTATGGAGATGCTGCCCCGTGCCCCCTACGGTCCCCACGGAGACGTTGCCCCTTGCCCCCTCCGGTCCCCACAGAGACACTGCCCCGTGCCCTTTCCGGTCCCCACGTAAAAGCTGCCCACTGCCCTCCTGGTCCCCATGGAGATGCTGCCCGTGGTCCCCCGGTTCCCATGGAAATGCTGCCTGCTGCCCCCTGGCAACCTCACTTTGTCCCCATGGAAACTCTGCCCAATCCCCCCGACAATGCTACAGAACTGGGATGGTGCATTTTCAGGCGACCCCCAGCCCAGTGGGGCCTTGCCCTGGGCAGAGGCTTGTAGGCTGGGTGCCCCCCCCGCTCCCGGCTCTCGCCAGCCCTACCTCCAGCTGCTCTGTGTCCATCCCGGCCTTGCTGTAGTACTTCAGGAAGTCCTGGGATGCAAGAGAAAACAGGACTGAGAGATGGAAAAAGGGGTGCCACGACCCCCCCAAGGGGCTGGCAATGGCCCCAATTAACCTAG